TGAAGTCATGTATTAAATTGCGCTTCTGATCGTCATTCCTTGGTAACTCAGTGGTAGAGCAGCGGACCGGTAATCCGTATGTCCTGGGTTCGATTCCCCGTCCAGGCAGATTATTGTGCGATGTTCAATCGTGGCTTCTACTTTCTACGAAAATTACAGTACTCACAAAAATCACCAATAATCCACCTCAAATAGATTGCCGAAAATTGCAGTCCACCTAATGTTGGAGAAAATACTGTCTTGTCCTCAGTAACAATAATACAATACAATAATACAATAATAATAATACTGTATATGAATCCACAAGAAGCAGTTTAAACTAATCTGCTTAGCAACTCAACTGTATCTAGGCGAATAGATGAGATGGCTCAGGACATAAAAAGCACGTACAGACCAGCAAATTTTCGTTGCGAGTAGATAAATGTACTTTATCTTTTACCGACGATCTTCTCGTGGCATATGTCCGATTCCTCAATGATAATGAATTAATCGAAGAGATGCTGCTTACCAGGATATATAAAACTCATACAAAGTGCCAGTCTATATCCGACGTAGTCAATGGCTATCTGCCTGAAAACTCCAGCACAATGCAAAACAAAGTTGCTAGTGGAACAGGTGGTGCTACCGCAGTGGTTGCAAGATAGAGAGGATTCATTGCCCATCTCACTTTTGTTCATACAGTTCACTGTGTGATTCACGGAGAACACCTAGTGATTAAGAACGTCGGAGGGCGCTTAAAAGATACACTGTCAACATTTATATTAGTAGTTAACAATGCCAATCTGCACCCTTTTCAAGATCGTCTTTTCCAGCGGTTGTGTGAGAAGAATAATGAAGATTTCCAGGTTCGACTTTTGCATACAGAATTTAGATGACATTCCAAGGGCAACTGTATTCGCCTTTTTGTTGCACTCTTGGACACCATCATCACATTCCTTTCTGGCACTGATTATGAAAAAAAACTTAACACCTTAACCAGAAATATTTTATCTGGCTGATAATTTTGAAAACTCTACTTATTCAGTAAAACTCTTCAAGGCAACTTAAGTAATCTCATCTAAAGTAAAGATGCCAACATCGTTTTTCTTAAAAAGCAGGAAGTATATGCTGAAAACATCGGACGTCGCGAGTTTTCACACTTCCCAATTAATTATTTATTCCAGTCATTTACAACAACCGCGAAAAGAAATGAAAGACAGGTTTCATGACCGGATCGACATGAAAATCCCGATTTAGATTTTGGATGTATTTGATGTACAGCCCTTCGATGTTGGGACTGAAATCCAGGAAACTCTCATAGAGCCTAAAAATGACACACTAGCAAGATTTAAATTCACGCTATAAACAAGGGATTTTTGGATAGACTGATGCCCCAGACTATGGGAAATAGCCGAAATATATTTCCTTACATTTCCATCTACATACATGAGTGAATGTGGATTCAGCAGACTGGTTTTTCTAACAATACTTGGTAGAAGCTTTGACATCCCTGCAAGATGAGATATTCGACTCTCGTTGTGAAGTCTGGAGCCGGACATAAGCAAGCTTGCTCAAGGGCATCAGGTTCAAGGCTCGCATAAATACAGAGTGGTGCACGAAATGTCATACCATTTGTTCTGTTCATTACACATGTATTTATCATCAAAATATTACAAACTAGTGCAGAATTAATTGTATAGGCACGAAGATTTAGTACACATTAGTACGTGTTCAATGTGATCATTTTGTTTCACAATCTCTTGCAAGCGAATCTTTACCTTTGTCACAACCTTCCTGCAAGTCTTCCGAAATTAGACGGCACAACTACGTGATGAGAGCCTTGAGTTGAGCTGCACTTGCAGGCTTCCTTGCCAAGACATTATCTTTCAAGTAGCCGCACACGAAGAAATCACATGGGTTGATGTCAAGACTATGCGCGAACAGCTGTCTCCCACGTTGATGACGCTCAGGAAACCGATGTGACTACCCGCCCAACAAACATGCCATATAGGTAATCAAGAACAATATTTGCGGTGTGTGGGCGAGCTCTGTCTTGCACAAACCATTAAATTTGTAATGGGAGACCTGTTGCCAAGGGTTCCGGATTAAACCTGTTTTCCAACATGTCCTTATTTCGATCCTTGCTCACCTTCTGTGCAACACTCTAGCTGCCCATGAAAATTGTGTTTGGCGCCAAGAAAATATTCCATACTAACTTCTCGTGACATCTAACGCATTTTCCATAAACCATATTATGCGAATACGAGCTTTCAACATTACATCTATGCTACTACTTGTAATGGACAATACAAATGGCATGAAATTTCGTGTGCCACGCTGTATCTCAATAAACATATTGTTACTACATGACATGCCTTACAGTTAAAAGCCGACGATAAGTAAATACAATTTTAAATATTACTGATGAGTTTTGGGTAATTACAGACATGTGGCTTGATGTTGCCGCACAACGAATGTTATGTTGAAGCTAAGTTAAACTATGGGGTTTATAAGGGAAAGAGCAGTGATACCAACATTAAACTTTATCCATCATAACAAAAAATAGCAATATGACCACTGAAATGATCGATTTGCGTCTGTTAGACGTTGCAGATTGCTGAAATTGTGGTGATCAAGGGTGGGGGGCATAAGAAATGGAAAGGTTCGAAAGAGGGCCACGGCTGAATAAAAGGTTGAGAATGCCTGGTCTAGGGGACTATGAGCTAATTGGTTCCGAAGACACTGCAGAGCAATACGACGATCTAACACCAGCAGAAGCGCAGGGAGAACGCAGCATGTGACAAGCACTGTGTATTCGGCCAGAGTAAATCAATCCACCAATTTGTGTTACCGAGATAATCAAAAGAAATACACCGGGGAACAGAGAGAATTAATTAACGTTCGAATTAGCTACCAAAACATACTAATGGGTCTTAGTCTCTAAAATTGGAGTGGGACGGAATGCCACTACAATATCCCCATCCTATAGACGTCATTGGCGACGCACCAGGCGGTCCAGGGCCGTGAAGAATTGGCACAATACCTCAACTCTTCAGCCGCTGGTTTCATGGGATGTAGATGTAATCGGTCGCGTGGGTAAGCACAGATAACGAGTTAACATTGTCAGATACATTGATTGTAGTCACCGCACCGTTGCATTTGATCATAGCGGTGAAAGTAAGCTGGGCAGATATGGGAATTTTGCCATACGATTTATCGTGTTGGTCTTTCTGTTGTTATTGGCTACTACTCGTGGCGATGGAACGGCGAACCGGATTGAATTACTGAATCAGCAACTTCTTGGATAGTGGAAACTGTTCCATTTTCCTGAGCACTGACTGTAGTTATTTTATCCGACTGCCTGATACTGAGAGGAAACGGTGCGTAAAGCTGATCCCAGATCATGTCTATATAGATAGACATGATCTGGGTCTGACGGAAACTAAGCAGAAAATAAGAGATCCAACACGTAATGCGTCGGGAACTGCAGCTAGATCAGTCTCTATTGTCCACCTTGAGAAGAGAGGTGGACGGTAAACGGGATTACTATACTTTGACCCGTAAACTGTTTATTTCCCTGATGTATGTACCATTGTTCGGAACAATCTGTAGGTGTCTTTAGACCGTTGGCTATTATTTGCCTTCATCATTTTCAAACACCGGTCGGTGACCTGGTCGTTCGAGAGTCTGGCTTGTAATCCGAAGTTCACAGTCCTCTTGAGCCTATGTAGGTTCCGGCGATCTTGGAGCATTCAAAACTCACACTGCGACTGTTTGTGCCCGCGTGACGGTGAAGCGTGGACAATGGGCATTGATATACTGTTGACGCTTTTTCATCACTTCCAAGGGGTATTAAGGTACAGTAACCTATTTCCATTAGCTTCTCACGAGCATCGTGGTGCGACGACTCACTAGTTCCCATAAGAACCCAAACAGTTGAAGCCATGTTGGCGTCCGCCCAGGTCGAAATTACGTTGGTCATTTGTTTACTCTTCGTCAAGCGTTAGAGCAGCGCTATGCATTCGGACGATTCCGTGATGGCATTCCTTTCCTTGAAGGTCGTTTTTGACATAGTTGATCATACCAGCTTGTGCGGCTGCGTACTGTCAGCAAACCTCTCAATCTTATGTTTGACTCTTCCAGCATGCTTTTAACGGTATTTTTGTTACATATTTATCCGTCCGTTTTCTTGCTTCTTTCTTCTGCAATACGAGTCAAGAAAGCTAGGCTTGGAGCATTCTGGTTAACGCGCCATCGTGATTCATCTGAACTGAACTGTTGTTTGACACAATTCTCCATTACGCTTCTTCTGATAGAGATAGTACCCTTTGTTGGTGATTCGTTTTTTTGTTATTCACGTCTCTTCACATTTTCTGTGACGAAAGTGCATTCTCCTGACATATACTCCAAACCTTTGTGCTATTCGATTAAGTCGGTGACGAAAGGTTGACTACATTAATTCGTCTAGGTTTGATTTGTTTTGAAACACTACCGTGAGACATATTCTCACCATTTTAACCCGTACTCATTCTACTATGTTCATGATTACTGTCGGCCGGCGACCGAGTGGTCTGCGCGCTTGTTTTGCAACCATCAGGTCACCGGTTCGAATCTGCGTTAGGGGTGGGCGTCCTTACGGTATACTCAGCCCGCGCGCGGCTGGTGGTGGTCGTGTGACAGCGATGCTCCGTTACGGCGTACGCTTAGCGATTTATTTTTTTCATGATTACAAGATATGGTTCCTATGACCGATTATGCATCTCTCCTTTATCAGAAACTATAAGTAGTCTTGTTGTTTCCACCCCATTTCCGCTTACCTGTTAGACTTCTTTCACTTTTTAGCCCTCCTTATAGCGCACTTTTTTGTGATGTATTTATGAGTTCATGTTTCATGATCAGTGCTATAAGTATAAAACATTTTGTCCACTTGTCCATCAAATCCAAGATGAGTGGCTGCTTTCTGCTCCATTGGACAGTTGCCTTAATAAATTTCTGTTTATTGCTTTCTTTCTCCCCATTAGACCGGCGAGGCTTTTGCTCAAGCACTCACACGCCTTGCCCATTGCACAAATGTTGAACTTTTGCCAAAGCACACTTGCTCCCTGTCCGAGATTCCTTGTCGTTGGTCGGGACTAGGGCATGAGCCAGCGACGATTGTTCACCAAGTCGACAACTTACTTCGTAATGTGGCTGCATGCACCGAGGATTTGGCGCTTCGTTTAGGCGAACCAGAGCGCATTCTCTCGGAAGCACGAACACAATTGGATCAACTGTCTGATTTGCGGATGAGTTTCCATCGTGCCGGGGAACAACTAGAGGCCGCTCTCACCCGATCCGCGAGTTTGCATACAACCCGCTCTCCCAGCGACCTTGTGCACAGCGACACACAAGTGACGGAGTTGCGTCAAATCTACCGGAATGCTGCGACGGCCTACTTGTCTGCACTCCGATCAGCCATCAGTTCCACTCCCATGCTTACTTTCTTTCGCTCAACTGGCATGTTAGTTGCAGCGGAGCAGAGTTTCATGGAGCGGTTGCGCAAATTGTCAGATGATCCCTCAGCATCTCCTTCATCCACTCCACCATCCAACTCGTCCGTCTTACTTACCTGCTTGAACAAGTTGGCTAATTGGGCTGAGACCAATTGTCGTATTTCTCGTACACAAGATCAGTATACCGAAATGCCGCAGCTAGAGGGACAGATGGGGTCAAGTTCAGCTCGTCTCGAAGATTACTTGTTCAAAAGGTCCACAAAACGTAAATGGCGAATATGGGTAAAACGTTGGTTTCTTATGAGTGACAATAAACTCATTTACTGTAAACGTGTTCCAAATTTGTCAACTGCTGAACTCTTATCGGTCACTGAATCGACGATGACTACTTTGAATAACCGGCTAAGTGAAAAATCAAACAACACACCTACACTTGCCAATGGCACCGTCTCCATGGACTATGAAGTCTCTAAAGCCGTCGAATGTTCCGAACTTTTCAATCGCCTTTTATCCCAGTCAGACCCGGAGTGGAAGGTAATGGAACCAGATCTACGGATTTGCACAGCTCGGGAAGGCAACGCAGCTTTGGATCGGCGTTTTACTTTCGAACTGATTTCGCCCGTTAACAGAGTTCATCTGTTGCAAGCAGAGTCCTACGATCAGAAAGAGCGTTGGGTCGCGGCCCTTCGATCAGGACTGCAAAACTTTCAGCAGTACAACAGCTCCAACCGGCTGTATCCATCTGAAAGGGAAAATGGACTGTCGGATCAGAGACACAGCAGTCCTAGTCGAGCGACATCTGTCAGTTCAGCAGATCAAGCTACCATAAAAACACCGGAGTTCAACCACACACGAAGCCGTGTGACTGGACCTTATACTCTATCCCAACAGTCGATCCCTGATTACGATCAATTACGCAGTCAAGGGGGTATCATACTTTGGCGTGAGCCAGACACTGCCAGCAATAGACTGTGTGCCGATTGTTCAGCAGATGGAGCCAGCTGGGCCAGCATCAATTTGGGTGTCACTCTTTGTACTCATTGTGCGGCTGCTCATCGCAGTCTTGGTGTACACGTGTCCAAGGTGAGTTCACACTCGTTCTATTGCACGGTGTGTGCAACTTCGGTTTGAACTTGCGGGATGATTTGGTCACCTTGCCTTTCGGTCTACCCTTATGTTACATTGGTTTGCTTTTGAGGGAAACACTTTCACACAATGGGACGAATCAGTTCGTGATCCGGCGAAACCCATTGACAGTCTATTTGGTTAGCTCATTTTCGCTGTCACCATGGGACCGACCCACCGGATCCACATACCAGACATACCAGAGTCAGTCTACGAAGCGCATCTTCTCCGTTCTTGAAACTTTACCAATATCACCTGTCTACTAATGTTCATGCCAAACACTGCTTAAATTAACTTAACTGTTGCGGCATTTTAGGACCTTTAACATATGTTTAAATCAGTTAAATTGAATAACTGTGCTCCGGATACCGAGGCAAGGTGGATCCAGTTGTCACGAGTCACGTCAACAATAAATAACGACAGTAAAAAGTGCGGTTAAACACAGAGTGCAAAGAAAGTGAAGTTAATAAAGTGGTTTGTAAAGCCAATCGGGTTGGCATGGATATTAGCAAACAGATGCAATAATTTGAATGCAGAAGTGCCACTAACTGCGTGACTTCGCCATGTCTGATAGGGTCTTCAACTACTTGTGCGGATCATCCTGGATCTCCTATCCACGAACACTGCATGCACCAGCCTAACTAAGATTTTTTAGTCCATTTCCTTATGCCCTGTCATCGAGGAGCCACTTTGCGGTTTGCCCAACTTGATGCGGCGACCGTGTGTAATGTGCCTTGAGGAACCACTTCAACGGGAATTTGGAGGACATGACCTAAACAACGTAAACGGCTGGGTTTTAGCTAGCACTCGAGTGAGGCACCATAAAGCTCCTTCTAGACATTTGTTTGAGCCGCGTATGCGTAGGAATCCGGGACTGCAACATGAAAACGATCAAGGGTTGCGATCGCGTTTCGGACCTTGGTCTCTGGTGAAGCTTCTACACTAACCGGGCATGGCTCAGCCCGCATTACTTGTGTAAGAAGGGCCGCTGAAGCAAGGGGTAGACATCAACATTGCTTGCTCAATATTCCCACCGTTATCGAATTTTATCGTCCATCTTTGGGCTTCCACTTTTCTGCTCACTTTGTGTGCGTTCTCAATCGTTTGTTGTGCCTTCGTGAAACTTCTGTGCATGGTCCTTCAGTATATACCGGCTATTCGCCCACTGCTGCATGGCTTGTACAAACCACCTGGAAAATGAAATTAGTTCACCTTCATGGCGTTTGCCACACCACATAAAGACGGCATCAAATCAGGTAAATAATCGCGACTGATCAGTTTTATCTAACCGGACCCAGCGCAAATTATCTGTTTCACCTGAATTCATGTCACTCTGCTGAAGCCGCGCACTGTTACTGTACGCTGCTCCTTCGCGTCACATGCATTCTGTTACTCTGCTTTCTCTTGTCCACAATTCTGTATGTTCTTGGACTAGCTTTACAAGCAACCGCCGAACGTGTTGTGGCTTCCTAAGTTCTTCGCTTATTTTGCTAGCAAACATTTATCGACGTGGTTTTATTAGGAGGTAACATTCGCTACAGGATAATTCTACTGTGAGCCTCATGGATCCCTTTTTACTTTTCCAACACTGAGCTACTCGCTGTATTTATCAATGTCATCGTATGCACCGTGTTATTTTCTCGATGGTTAGCTACTACTGTACCACAATTAACTTATCTTCCGGAATAATAAACGAAGATAGTTAGATCCTCCCCTTTCTGTGCAATTCCGACTAAACCTACCTCATTATCCCAAGATAAACATGTATCGATGGCACGTCACCAGCTCCAAAGTCATACATGTCATCATCATTATCATCCAAAGCAGTACATCAGCCAATTGGACTGATACTTCGCTGCCTTACAACCACGACGATCTACGGAACGACGACAAGCAAGACGGTGAGAAGTGGGACCTCGCCTAAAACCACAATGCTCTAAGCAATCATTCAGGGTCAAGGCTCCTACACCTAGTCAACAACATGCCATCACAAACAATTGGCTATCGTGCAAAGTCGGCTTCGGCGGGACAGCTTCCTTGTGGATTTCACTGCCCCACGGCATACTCAACCATACTCAACCCCGCAGGGTACTCGGCACCAGCTACACTTTAAATAGGCAGTCCGACTACGAGACGACCGCAGACGCGCCACTGATGTCGATCACGAGTCATGTCCTGTAACGTCTCGAACCAAGCACTAAGCGGGTCACGGGGACTAGTCTGGAAAGCGAGACGGATCAACTGCACCAAGTTGTGTGACTGTATTTCCCTCTGCCAAGTTAAATTTTGCCAACCTCAGGTCTTGCGCCACCCTACACCTGGCAGACTAAACAAGACCCTCCTAGGTAAGCGGTGACCAGGCATTCGTAGTACGTCCCAAAGCCAACGCAGCCTATTCAATGCTATCTGTTGTTCTTGGCAAGTAGTTTTCTTATCACTGCCTAGCACTGGCATACGCATATCATCGTTGCAGACACGCTGGTGCCAATCGACACCAGCAATAGTTCACAGACAGGGTTCATCAAAGACTTGAAGGCGCCTCAGAGCTTCATATCGAAGGGGTCAAGTCCCACTCACATAGAGTAAGATGGCCTTCACTATGGCCTTCTAAACATGGCCTTTCAGATCGAGAGAAATTCCTTCCTGTCGCCAAAGTAGTCACAGATGCAAGAAGGCAATTCTGACTCTTTCAATACATGAAGTGACTTCACATGCAATGGGCCCATCTTTGCTGCTGCAGCTACCAAGGTAAGTGAATAGTTCACCTACCTCGAGTTTCTCGCTGTTCATAGTCAAGGGGCCATCAAGTGGCTGGTGGTCCTGTAACTACACTTTGCACTTCAAAGATACGAAGCGCATACCAAATAACGCGATCACTCTAGGAATGTTGTTCAGGGTTGATTGGGCTGCCCCAATGTCCTTAAATAGCAAGATAATATGATACGCATAATTAACATCTACATTCCTTCCACCAGGCAGCACATGAACACCTGCATCGAGCGATTCCGCAGAGGAACTTTGCATGATGGAGTCCACGACGAAATTGAACCGAAATGGGGAAATCGAACAATTCTGACTAACGCCACTTGTAGTCAGGTCTACCTAGACCTTGACGCGGTCTGTGGTGTTCGAGTACAGGGCACGTAAAATGTTCACACATTTCATGAGAACCCCTTTCCACACAAGTATTTCGAAAAGAATGCATTGACCTGCTGAATTGAGCGCGTACTAGATGTCGAAAAACAGCTATTGTCGGTCTGCAGTATTTGTGCTACTGCTCTAGTACCTGACGCAGAAGGCATATGTGGTCTTTACAGCCCCGTCTTGGACGGAAACCTGCCTGCTCGTCTCTAATCCGGGATTCTTGTTCCACAGGGCGACGAACGAGAACTGACGCCAGTAGCTTTTGACAGCCGGAGTTAGGCTAATACTCCTTTGGTTAGCATAGTCGATGCGACTGCTTTTCCTGCATACTGTCACTATAATCGATTCATTCCAGTTTGCTCTGATAGTCTCCTACTCCCAGACCTGTTCAAACAGGGAGGTCAGTGGTTTGCAGAGCTCATCGCGACAATCTTTGTATAGTGTGGTTGCGAGAGAATTCGGCCCTAAGGCATGAAAACGATTAAGGACTGTGATAGTGTTTCGGACATCAACCTCCGACGGAGCCTCAAAACTAACCGTCCATGGCTCACCTGCAGCAGCTGTGTAAAAAGGATTCCGGAAGCATGGGGCCAACTCAATGCTCTCGAAATCGCTCCACCTGACGAGCAATACGTCGCTCCATATTGTGACTGATATCTTCCTTGATACTATGATGTGGATCAATCAAAAGAGCTTGCCATAATTGCCTACTGCTCCCGCCTTCTCCATTTCTTGAGCGCGACTTCCTTGTCAGTACACAGGCTCCGCTTTAATTCGTGACTAATAGTCCGCTTTGTTACATTGTGCTCAGAGCCATCCGAGAATTTCCTTCTGGCTTCTTACAGTTGTACTGACCTCTCGGATATCCGGTGACTTATTCAGCAACGATTGATAGTACATCAAGCATAGGCTCTCGCGTCATGCCGGGCGGCCGAGATCCTATTCCATTGACGCTCAGTATCATTAGGATAAGAGGGTGAAAGTTCGATACACAGAGCATCCTAAAGCTTGCGTGATCGCGTGTTGAGATAACTTCAGTTGCCAATCGAGGGAGACTGTTTTCAAGAATCACGGTAATGATCATGGAAAAACAACAGCGTCCCAACGCATATATATATATATATATATATATATATATATATGTTTACAACTGTCTACAAATAGACATAGAGCCATCAGAAACCATTAAACTCAAAGTAAGGTACAGAAATAGTAACAGCAAACACACAACACAATATATCAAAGTCCATGGTTTCGTCTGAAGGCGAAATACTGCCCGGTTGCCTAAGCCGAAGTGGGGTGTTGACTTAGAAGACAGTACCTTGAGCCTTTGGATGAATATTCTGCCCGCACCGAAGTGGAGCGAATTCAGGGATTCGCATGACCAGAGTCGACGCAAGTACTCCGGAGCTTGTGACAATCCGAGAAGGAACCACGCCACCTGTAACTAATGGCTATGTGATCTATCTGGGTCCATCGCTGGCCAGTTATAAATGGTCACCACGTGGCACTTCGACGCGCACGGTTTCTGGAAGCGGTGCTACTGAGAAACAGCTGGTGCTCCGCATACAGCTGTAACAGACGCTCACCGTTTTCCGTCTGTTCGGAGTTATGTCCATATGTACAACTTTTGTTGAGCTTCTGACAAGCTCAGACGACCTACTTGCGCATTCATATCCCCTGCAAGAGCTATGTTATCTGAACTGGTAGCATCACGTAATAGCGTGTACAGTTCGTGGTAGAAGGCGTGCATAGCGGCACCAGAACTTCAGTCGGTGGAGACGTAATAAGAAGCCATAAACAAACAACGTCTA